TGAAGGTTACCACTTAAACCAAAGCTATTTTGGAATTTCCCAACCTGGTCTCGAAACAACGTCACATACGTCAATAAGACTTCACTTTCTCTGTAGCCTTTTGCCCTTAAATGACACAGTAGCATGCAGATTGCATTAGTGTCATGGAAAGACAAATCAGTAACGATGATTTGTTCCTCTACGCCAGTGAGGCTTTCCTTATTCCAAATTTGGAAACCTTTAGCAAGACAGATTTCAACAGTGGTAATCTTCAGGTACTATACCAGGCCAAAAAAAAAAAAAGGAAGAATTGCAATCAAAAAGAATTCCCTGCACAAGTCCATCAGCCTGCCTTTAAAAATAACCAACCATGGTTTTTAACCTGTTATACTGAAAGTGAAACTTTTTTTAAAGGCAACCTCTTCCAGGAACTCTGACCAGGCTACTTGTCATGATAGCAGATGGTAGGATGGGTTTATGCCAGGTAGCCTGTTGGTATGACACACTCATAACTTAAATTATTTCCTACCTTAAAGGAAAGCCTTAAGACTTTGTTCGTAACTCTTCCCTAATGCGTATCTCAGTGTTTAAGGAGATCTGAAGCTATGTAACCTCATAGAACAGAGAGAAGTTTTCTACTTTGCTTAAAAGAAGAAATGTAAGTGAGTAGCAGCCGTGCTTTAATGAAGAAAATGAAAATCTCTCAAGAAAAACATCTTCAGGGAAGCTAAAGTCAAGACTAGGGAAAGCCAATTTTAACTGAAAAACAGCTATCAAGAAAGAGCACTTACTAAATAGTATGTTTTATCTCAATATTTATCTTGAAATAATTTTAAAAACAAAACAAGATTAGTATCGTGCATATGCACGTAGGCATTGGATAAATACACTGACAGAGTGAGTACAACATAGTCAGAAGATAAGACTGGATTACCTGTTCTGAACTGGTGAGGCACAGCCATAACAAAGTGTGGTATAACACAGAAAGCAAACTATGAGACTTCGGAAGGCTCAGTGTGGGCTCCATGTCTCTGTTAGTGTTAATTTTTCAGTGGCAGTAGCAGTCAGATGAGATGCACAGCAGCAGGGCAACAAAGAGGAAAAAGAACTGACAGGGGAGGCTTTCTTCACAAAGGCTGGGGAGCCCTGGGCTAAACAAAAGTCCTCTTGAAGTCCTCTTCAGCTCTGTCTTTGATGACAGGTTTTGTATGCAGCTGTGATTTGAGACAGTTGGCTTAGATAGGCAAACCTATTCATGCCCTGTGAATAAAGCTCTATTTAATGTATGTTAATTTGGGATTAGAGCAATTTTTTGTCTATAATACATATATAATAGACAGCTCCAATCTTTTCTGCAGACACTAATCTGAGAGAGAAAAATTGCTTCTTTTCACTATGTCTGAGCCACAAATTGTACTTGACTGTGAAAGTACCTTAGATAATTTGGGTAGCAGAAGCAGTCTAGCTACACCAAACACAAGACTCACAAGCTTTCCCTGGCTTTCTGTAGTTCACCTATGCATGTAGCTTGCTCTATTTTCCAATTTTCTTTTTTCCAGTCACAGCCTGTAGGATACACCTCATAAATTCCAGTTAGTAGGTAGAACTTTCACACAAAGCACGTTTTTAAAACAATTACTGTGTTCTTCAGAAAAACAATATAATAAATGACAAAATATTCTTGATCCTCATCTCCAGCATGCTCATTTAAAGCATTTAACATTAAACATTGGGTTTGAGGTGTTGACATGTTGATACAGTACAATATATTTAAAGAAATGGAAGAAGAAATGTGAACAACTGATACATTTTATGCTTTCTAAACTACAAGCTGTTCCACATAATTTGTTTTCTAAATTGTGTACTGTTTTATAAAAAGAAAATAGAACTTGATTGATTCCCTTGAGTAAACACAGCAAGGAAGAAAACTGATTATTAAGAAATTAATTATACTTGGTATTGTCAAGAGGAGAAAAAAGTGTACAGGGAAATAAATGCAGGTGTATGTACTCTGCCAGCAGTGGTGGCTTCTACAGTTCTGATACCCACTAAGGCTCCAAACGTGCCTTGGTAGGACAAGGAACACAGCAAGTCTTATTATATGAGTTTCACCTCTGTATTTGTTTCTCAAAAAGCACTACATCACAACAGATCAGTTTGAAGGTAGGTCTATCTTAGATCACTTGTTTTGACAAAAAGGACTTAAGACGTTACCCAGGGGCTGAAGTGAAACAGGTGGATCCCTCCACCCACTCCAAAATGCTGATGGCAGCCTGAAAAGCAGGGAAGAGGCATTCTCCATGCTAACTGCAGCTTGCAGAGTCTTGAACTTCAGATACAGTAAAGGAAACTGATGTGAATGTATTTCATTTACAAAAATTAAGCAGCTGCATGATTACAATTAAGATTTGAGGTCCCAGACATAACAATTCAGTGATTAAAAATCAGCATCTTACAGTTGTTTGCTAGTAGCTCTTCAAAAATTTTTCAGAGATTTTTTTCACACCGAAGCTATTTATTAGTTATTAGCATTAACTAACACCTTTTCTTGATAGTCTCAGACAGCAGGCTAGGCAGTAAAAAAAAAAAGCCTCCTCTAAAGACAACGTACATTAGCAGGACTACTCTTGGCTTTCCTCTAATGAAAAAGAAATACTGAAAATGCAATTCTGTTTTTTTTTCTATAACATGTTTCAATTATGTCAATTCAAAGCTACTAAAGACCAGCATGGCAAAATTGCATAAGTTGGCTTTAAAGTATTTATCAGTACACTGTGAGGTATTTTATAGTTAATATCTAAATCCCTGAAGTGTGGCAAAAGTCCAGGACAAGTGTCGATATTTAATACTGACGATAGGCCAAGTTAAACTTTTTTTGTTTAAAACAGATTTAGCTGATAGGGTAAGATTCCCTCTCTCAAGAAAGCATTCAGGGAAAGAACGATTTTACTACACATATATACTTAATTTTACTTTACAATTGAACGAGGCAAGTACCGACTACTACAAGAATAGAAAATAAGAAAAAACTGGAATGTTTTCAACATAAACTGTTGAAAACTTCAATGTAGAAAGGAAACTTTTTTTCTTTTTGATTTGTATGGTTACTGTGTATTTTACCTCAATTGTTAAAAAGGAAGGTATTAATAACCATTTCACTCCACGGAAGTCTACCAGTCAATACAACAAAGGACCATTCATTCCATGCATTACATTCTCCTTCCAAAACACACAATTTGAATTTAAATTAATCAGGTTTATGCAAGTGTTTTTTTCCAGTTACCTGCGGAGTATCAAATATCATAAACATACCCAAGAAACCATGAATGTGTTGGGGATAAGAGTATAGAAAATTTAGTGTATATGAAATAATAATGGCAATCTTCTCCACAGCGAGTAATATTACTCAGCTACAACATAGCCATTTAGTGCTCAGAAAATAAATGAATATGCTATTTCAATTTAGAACACCCTATTTTCACTGTCTGAGAAACAGCATAAAAGCAGGCTTTCCCACTCGACACAGGATAGATGAAACAAGAAGGAAAGCAAAAACACTACAAGGGAAGAAAAGAAAAAGGAAAAGAAAAAACCCCAACAATGTACTAACTGGCAGGACACAATCTGCCAGTCACAGAACATAGTATGGCAACTTAGTTTTCTGTCTATGGCTTCTACCTTCATCATCTCCTTTTATGGTCTGCCGTGTCTTATGATTTTTACTCAGAAAATACTTCTCGAAGTGTATAATCTGTAAATGTTAAAACACAGGAAAGACATGGCTCATGGCTTCCTATCTATGACTATTCACAGCATCTGGAGGCATCACTTAAATTTTATCATGGTGATTACTGACACTACTAGCACTAAAGTTCATCTCACTTCCAGTAAGAAAAAAATAAGAAAACAATACATAACTTCACAGTGACAAACTCCAAATATGCATACATCATGTTAATTTTTCCTTTCTTTCATGGAAACCGCTCTGGCGTAATGTAGTAACAATATTATCATATTAAAATTTGAAGAGAACAGTTTAAACCCAGAGTTTAAAGCTACAGTTAGTAGCTGCACGCTATCACAGAGGTAGGTAAGTCCCACCAGCTTCCATCAATTCATTGCTTCTCAAAACATATCTTGCCTTAAAGTTACTAGGGATCACTAGAAACCATTTTCCTTTTGTAACATTACAAAGGAACCTTCATTTTAATACATAGTATTCTCCCCAGCTGAAAGTTTTAAAGTAGCTCTGTTTTCTTTTTGAGACTGGACAATCAATGACTTTCTACATTATTTCTGATGTTAATATTGTGTTAATCTGAAGTTACTCATTAAGAAACGCCTCTAAGATAAGAGTGAAGCCAGACACAAAATGTAATGTATGAGCGAACAAATAATCAATGCATAAAGATAGGAAGCAGACCTAGCAGTGGTTAGACCACTGCAGGGGAGAACAAAGTTGGTCCTCAAGGAATACAATAAAAATGCCTCAAGGCAAAAACCAGAGACTGATTTTAGACTAGCAATCTACAGTTCCTCTGAGGAAGAAAAGGATGGATGACTCCTAGCATTATGTTGTGTCTACTCAAATGCACTACATCTTTCAACTGAGGACGCTGAGCTGATGATGTGGAACGTAAATGAACTTCAATAAGTCTTCCCCCCACAAAAAAAAGAAGAGTTTATAACAGCTAGGAAAGGGCTGCAGAAGCTGCTAGGAAACAGGATCTTACAGATATGAAGAGGCATGCCTTAACAGCTTCTCTAATTTTGCTGAGAACTCAACCACTGAGAATTGTTTAGGGATGAAGGGTTTGTTTGTTTTCAACTTGTCATTTTGTATCGTTGCATTTGACGTTTAGCAATTTGTCAAAGTAAAGTTTATACAAACACAAAACTGTTTGAACTCACGTTAATATTATAACCAATGATGACTGGTTTATACTAAAGCTGTTTGGTTTTTTGTTTGGTATTTTTTTGAAAAAATCAAGAGGCAACAAATTGTTTGCAGAAGTCCTTACCTCCTCTGTGGGCTACGGTTCTGAGAGAACTCCGAATCACTGTCCTTTGATGTTGGAGAGCCCTTATATGTATAAAAAACATCCTCCGTTTCAGTAATGTAACTAATCTCATTTGTAAGGTTATCTACAGACGAGTGTCGTGGTTTACGAATTTCATGACGTAGTCTAGGACTCCGCCTTAAAAATAAGGAACACAAGCACAAGTTGGAAGATCAGAATAATTCATAAAACTTCAAAGTGAAATTTCTATCCCGTTGCAATCTACATCCCAAAATCTTCATGACAGGCCTATAGGTCTCACTTTAAATAATCAATTTTTAAACATTTTGTATGTTGTACTAGGCAATCACACACTCCTAGGTTCAGTACACTGAATCAATTTGATTTTTTCTTCCTCTAAAATGCCACCTGTATTGTTAAAGTTCTAATCATAGGATAATTCAGGTTGGAAGGGACCCAGTCCAACCTCCTGCCCAAAGCAGGGTCAACTGAGGTCAGAGCAGGCTGCTTAAGGTTTTATCTAGTCAGATCTCAAAAAACTTGAAGGACAGAGATGGCACAGCTTCTCTACGCAACCACTGCTCAGCTGAAGTTGTGGCAAAGAGGTTTCTCTTGTTTCAACATATCCTCATCCTCTCACTATGCAACACTGAAGAACCTGGTCTCACCCTCTAGCTAGCCTCTTCCTCCTCCTCAGGCTGTTATTAGGCATCCAGGAAACCCTTGCTACTCCAGGCTGAATGAGTGCAGTTCTCTCAGCCTCTCCTCACCGGGTAAGTGCTCCAGCCTCCTGACTACCTTGGTGGATCATCGCCTTTGCTCAGCTCGCTCCAGTTTGTCAGTGTCTTTCTTGTATTAGCGGATACAAAAGCAGCCGCAGCATTTTAGTAAGGTCTAACGGATGCTGAGCAAAAGGGGGATAATCACTTCCTTTGATCTACCACCTATGCTTCTGTTAATATTGCCAGGTTGCTGTGGACTTCTTCGCTGCCAGGGCACACGAGATAGCTCATGTACAGCTTGCTGCCTACAAAGATTACCAGGTCCTCTTCCAGAGAGTTGCATCGCAGACAATACTGTTGCACTGCATTCTTCCTTCCCAGGACTTTGCATTTGCCTTCATTGAATTTCATACAGTTCCTATTGGCCCATTTCTCCAGACTATCAAGTTCCTTTAGGATAGCAGCCCTGCCCCCAAGCTTATTAACTCATCTTCCCAGTCTGGTGGCTGCAAACTTTGAGCAAGCACTTAATTGCCTCCTCTAGGTCATAAAGTCATTAAGCAGGGCAGGTCCCAAGATAGACCCCTGCAGTACTCCACTTCTTACTGGCCTCCAGGTAGAGTATGACCCACTAACAACTCCCCTCTGAGTCTAGTCATCCAACTTTTTTTTTTTTTTAAACCATCTTGTTGTCCACCTTTCCAGAACATGGTGTCTTAACTGGGGTATAATATTCTGCCAGACAGTATCAAAAGCCTTGCTAAAGTCAAGGCGATGCCCACTCTTCTTCTGTCGGCATATATATTCTCAGAACAACAATGTTTAAAAATATATGTACACACTACACAATTATTCTGTTAGAGTACATTCAATTAGAAAAGGTGGGAGGCTGGAAGGTATGGGAAAGGAGGAAACTGGATTTACCAATTAGGGGTAACAGGAGGTGATCGAGAAGGAAGGCTTTTGGTCTCTAGATGCTCAACAGATAAAGATCGTCTCATAGATGGGTTCCAAACCATCCCACCTATAACTTTTCTGCAGTACTGGCTGTTTACAGACCTGAAAAGAAAACAAAACAAAACAAAACTGTATGTGAATTATTTTCCACAGAAAACTTAAATGAACTAAAATATGCTTCTGAAAGTCAATTTTATAATCCATGTGTTTTAAAAGACCCCTGTGCTTACCCCTTCTTACTTATGCATTTGCATTCTCACAGAACCATTTGCTGTCCTTCACTTGTGGCAATAAAACTGTTTGTTAATCCCTGCTACAATGCTAATCGCAAGCCTGGGTAAAAATAACTTTTTCTGAGAGTTATTTTTAACCCAATTGCGTTTAAGATTATGGAGGGGAAAACAGGAAATTCAGTATGTCCTATTGGTATTGAACCGAGTGCCTGACAAAACATGGCTCATAAACAGGCAAAAGATTCTAGACGTTACCTGTTAAAACTCTATAAAGGGGTAACAATTCACTAATGGCTTCACTGAGCACAGGATGACTTTAACCATCTACCTGCTGCCTCAGCAAATAAAGAGCTACAACAGACCACTCACTCTTAAAGCCACATTTGAGTGATGTGTTCCTTATAGGAATAAACCATTAGAGAAAGCTCTGACACGAAAAAGGATCTCCAAGTCTGAACTGCTTCTTGTGACAAGAACCTGACAAGATAAGGGTTGCATCAGAATCAAAGCCTCAGCTAAAGAAGCAGTAAAAATATCTTAGTAGTCGAATTATACAGCAGAAAAAAATTTTTCAAGTAGATCAAAACTGAGATCTTGAAGAATTCCACATATTTTGCATTAATCAGCTTTCCTTTTTCACCAGTGCCTGCTCATGCATTTTTCCAATGCAGGTGCCTTTTGAGGTGTAATGTAACTCATGTGATGGAAGACAGAGCCCTAACCCCTAATCCTGACCACAGAATCATTTTAATATTCTCTAGATACTTCAGTTAAGGTACATAACAGAAACAATCTCCTGAACTCCAAGCAGCTGCTCTTCAGATGTCAAATATGAGGATACTTCTCAGAAAACACACTCAAGAGGCTGCCAACGCCTCTATGGAATGGGCTGTACTATCTTGAGGTGACAGTTCCTTCCTCCCATCTATTACTGAAGCTACCCTTTGTGAAAAAACAGGTACATTTTTAGCTTTTCAGCCAGGAATGAGAATGCGCCTAGAAGAGTTTATTCAGCATTCAGTCCAGAAACGTTGAATGAACTTACCTCTCAGAATTTCAGAGATACGATCCAGCTTGCCCTTAGAATAAGGCACACAGGTGATTTATACAACTCAGCAGCCTAATTTAAATGGAATTCCACTAGTACCTTAAGCTAAGAAAATCTAGAAGGGCATAGAGATGGGCAAATAAGAAATTGTACTAAAGGGCTGCAAGCGTTTAACTATATCAACTGATGCAATAAACACTGGGATATCTGCCTCACATGAGCATAAAAGAACAGAGTACAAGAAAGCCACAAATTCCAGTGGAAAACTTGTGATACTTAAGGTGGTAAAACCTGAATGTAACCCCTTTCAAAGCTGACAGAAGTTGGATCAAAAGAATTATTGATGATAAGTCAATCTTAAAACCTCCAGGATCGTATGGTGTGGTTGGTGGGGGTTTTGTGTGGAGGTTTGGTTTTCTGGGGGTTTTGGGGTGGGGTTTTTTTGTGCTTTTTCTTTTAATTTGTTTGGGTTTTAACTTTTTTTTTTTGGTAGGGGTATGTGTGTTTGTTTCTTTGTTCTACTCAATGCAAAATGTTCCTCCTGTAGCTTCCATACGAGCTCAGAGCCATCCTTGTAAAGGAACATGGAAGCTCATGTTGTCTCTTACAACGTTCTACAATCACAAACAAGTAGGAAAGTAAAAATTATCAATATACAACAGATGACTTTGGAAGTGACTTGATCACACCTTTTCTTAAATCTTTTGAGAAAATAATTTGCTGAGTGACAGTGACCAAGTTGATAGGGGCTACTGAAAGTCTTCCAATATTACTGTTGCTTCTTATGTACTTAAGCAGTCTCTGATAGTAAAGGTTGACAAGTCACTTCTGCCTCAGCAGATCCTAAATTTCAGGCCTATTGCTGACATAAATAAGGCCAAAGAACGCATTAATACAGAGGATATCATTAAGCTGATGGAAGATATCACAATGAACAGTTTTCCCTAGAGATTCCTTAAGAGCTTAAATAAGCAATTCATCAGCGATAATGCCTGAGAACAAAATGTTACTTGAAAAGAATTCTTTCTTAGTAACTCAGTTCAATGACAACTATCCTGCATGCTACCAGTTATTAAGCCATTGTATCGGTAAATATGCCAAAAATCAAATGTTTGGTAAAAATTGGAATGATACTAAGCTAGTACTCTTTGTAACTCATATTGTCTTCCTTCTTAACATTACAAGGGCTGTGCAATGCCTCTGTGTGTGTGTATACACAAGCATCAGGATTTTGAATCTGTTTGCAAATTTTGAGAAAGAATGGACGCTAGGACGTGACAATCCTACAAGCTTTGAGAAAGTCACCTCCTCAAAACCTTCAATCTATGAAGAACAAGTTCACATTACTCCATAGAGGAGCTAATTCTCAAGATATGGATCTGTAAAAGGTTGGAAAATTAGATTACTCTTTGTACAACTACTTGTTTTCACTTGCTTCAGCTATGATCTAGTACTAAGTGAAAATACGGAATTCCACTCCAGCAGAAAAAACCCCACATTTTATCAGCCTTCTTACTGTTGGACAGCCTTCATAGGTTAACTGCTTCATTTACAAGCAATACTAGTCCACTTGGTATGAATTTCTGCAGTATCTAAAGAGACATGGCAAGTACCTAAAGAGACATGGCAAGTATGAAAAGCCAGCCAGCCACCAAAGTCTAGGAAGCTATTTGAAGTAAGATGACATCATTCAAAAGTTAAAGCTTATCCAAACAGGAAAGAGAGAATCAGTCTGACAAATTAAATGCAAAATTAAACTGTTAAGGGAACACACTGCAAAAAACCCACAAACAAACACCACCCACAAAAAAAGAAAACTATAAAATACTTCTCCAAAAATCATCAGAACAAGCGGATTTCTATGGAATCTACATAGACTACAGATGCTCAAAGAACCAAAGAACCCTCCAAAATCTTACATATCTAAAAGATAACGACATAGGACTTTCTTTTTCATTCACTATTAATGGGAATGATTTTTTATGTCTTTCATGACACTTTTTAGGGAGAGGGGTTGGGGGGTGGGGATAGGACACAGAGATAATGACAACACATGGCATGACACATTTGTAGCTGCATTGCTGATAAATGAAACAACAGAACAAATCAACACAACGAAAAAAGTCACTGGAACTGATGCTTACAAAAAAAAAATCTAAAAGCCTCTAAGATGAAATAGTAGAACTATGAGAGTATAACGTTCCCCTTTAAACTAGTGATTTAATCTACTCAAGATTTCAAAAAGAATTTGACAAGGGCTCTTAAACCCATAAAGAAACTAAATAGCTGGGGAATAGGGTCCTTACTTCAAGGAACTACCTGTTCACTTGTGACATAAAAAGAGAGAACAGGAAAAAATGTTTTAGATTTATAGTAAAAAAAGATCAGCAGTGAGGTCTTAGAGGGATATCTGTTGGGGGCTTTTCTGTTCAACATATTCACTAATGATCTAGAGAAAAGAGTGAATAAAGTTTGCTGAAGATATTAATCACATAGGATGGCAAAAGTAAAGGTCAATTGTGAAGAAATGCAGAAAGACATTACAATGTCAAGCGACTAAAAAAATGGCACATGAAGTTTAATGAATTTAGGGCCCAGTTGGTGCATATGGGAAGGAATAATCCCAACTTTATATAGCAAAATGACAGGCTCTGAAGTATTAGTTTTGGGGAACTAGAACTTAGATATCCCTGTGAAACTACCAGCTCCATGACTAGCAGAACCCAATGAGGCAAATAAGGGTCACAAAAGTAGTATCTTGAATACTTGGACCGGACAAAGTTTTTCATCTCAATGTCAGTAATAAGTGGTTGGCATGACGCACTCCAGAAACTGCCCTAAGGTATTAAACAGAGTGTGTATATGACACTAAGAGCTCAAAACAAAACTGTTCAGCAAATTCTTTCACTGGATCATTAGCCACACGATATTTTTACTTTCTAGTGTTCTTATACCTCAAACTGAAACAGCAAGTTGAAACAATACCAGTAAAACATACTTACATTCAAAAACTTTTTTAGGAAATGGTACGAAAAGTTCTATTATAATGATACCATGTTGCAGAAACTGAAACCACAGCTCTAAACCTATTCAAATGGGTCACATACAGACTGGGACACAGCTGTTGGCAGAAGAGAACTCTGCCACTCCAGCTTGAGCTATCACTGACTCAGATCCTCCCGTTCCCATTACAAAGTAAAACATGCTTTCACACAATACTCACTTTGCTGGATTTCTAGAACCCAGGGTCCAATAATGGGACAGTATCTTTTTTTCATGAGGTAGTGACTTCTTCGCCTGAAAAAACGTGTGATGCTCTACACAAGATTTCCATAAATTTTTGCATGCTCTGTAATTTAACATGTTGAAGGCAACAATATGCTCTCTGGATTCATTCTGTAATGGTAGGAAATGCCATGTTTCAGTATATACAAGCAGATTAAACACAGTAAACTCACTCATAAAACAACAACAAAATTACTTTCAGCTTAAATAGGAAAAGTGCATTTAGGAAAACAAAAAAGCAGCATATAGTAGATTTTGAGCCCGCGATGGCCAAAATAGCCCTGTGACTATATGAAATTCTAAACTGCAGAATAGTTTAAGCAATACTGAAAAACTATTAAGTTGATCAGTGTTTTGTTGCCTTAACATTTAAGGCAAAGAAAAATTGAACATGACCTCTTGAGCAAAACAAAATTAAATGACTACTTACATGTTTTTGTCGTTGTTGTATAAAAAACTTTTTCCTTTTAAAGGAAATTTTTAATATGTTCACCCTAAAAGAAACAAACAGACCATGAAACACTAAACAATTTACTGGGATAAAACAATGAAAAATAATACTGCATGCAGCAAGCCTGAAAGATTACAGCTGTTAAATATTCAATGAATAACATGCAGTCATCTCCTGTGTTTAAAGCCAAACAGATATCAAGAAACTCAAAGGGAAAATTCTAGCTAAGAAGGCCTTTTTAAAATTGAGATTCTTCCTCATTTCCTCTTTAAATAGTTCACATAGCAATTCTCTCCCACCAAATCTATTCTTACAGCAAAAAACTTGATGACATCCTTTACTAAGCTGCACAAATGGTAAATGTGTCAAGTTTGTATAACTTAAGAATCATATGACAACTGTGACTAAAGGAACAAAGCTTAAGACCTGAATGACACGACAAGGTTGGTCATACAACATCTGAAATTTCCCATAGACTTCACAGAATTGGCTTCATAATGCAAAAAATATAATGTACTTGTATTAATAATTAAACAAAAGTTGCAGTTAAAATCATAATTGTAGAAGGATGAAAACTGTAAGAATGAGTGTTAATATGTTTTTCACTTCAATTATTAACATTTCTACATAATTTATGTGGTAATTCTATACAGAATTGAATGCCTCTCTTCTATGTATATGAATAAAGATTTTTCTAAGGTAAGGATTACAATTGGAACTGGTGCTCAAGCAATTTTCATTTTAATTATATGCTTATCAGTTTTGCTAAATTAAACAAGCTTCTAAGTACCCACGCACCTTCCTACAGCAAAACAAGATTTGTCTCTAAATACTGAAATTTTCTCTGCAATACTTCAATAACTGAAAACCTACACATTTTAGGAAAAGAAATCTGTGATCCGTGATCAGCTGGAATCACACAGATGCCTTGGGAAAGCTATTTAAGGTCTGCTCAAGTCATATCTACCTCAAAAACACCATGAAAGGGTTTTGGAAGGTTGCTGCTAAAAATCTCACAATATTCTCGTCAACTGATACTGTTTCACAGCATCTTAGATCTCAACAGGTATGAACGATATTGAAGGTCGTCTCAATTCTTATCACCATTTTTGCATCACTCTCAGCACGCGGGACAACGGCATATCATTCATTCCCCATCGCCCAGAGATGCACTTTAGTTACAGAGCAACGTCCTTCCCTGATACAGGAGTATATTTGCCGGTTACAAACAAGAAAGGTAAGGGAATGAACAATCCCCCCTCCAAACAAAAGAGGTGGAAAACTGAACTTGTGCCCATTTCTGAAAATGCTTTTTCAATTTTCAATGCTCTATCAATTACAGAACCACAAAGAAACAGTAATTCCATTAACACTTTTTTTGGTGACCAGGTAAATTGTTGTGCAAGTCAATGGGAAGCTGAAGTCATAGCCACCTCTCCAGTGAGGCCAGCTCTTGAAACACTTGTGCCGTTTGACTTGCTGCCTCAAACAGTAATGATCTGTATTGCCCATCTAAAAGTTCTGGATTCTGAACTTCCCGGTAAGTCACAAACTTTCAGCTGTGTTTACTGAGATTTATATATAAATCTTTTATCAATTCTAGAGCTATTCTACTTGGACTAACACTCAAGTTCTGTGCTTCTGGTTCTTTCTTACCACATTTCTTGTCTTAGATAAAACTTCAACAACTAAGTTTCTGAAGTCATTCTCAGCCTACACAGTTGCTGTCTCGGTCTGTTCTTACCCTAACACAGAGCCAGCAGAAATGCAGGACACAGAAACCTAACCTTGTAGACTAAGCAAAAAACCCTCCATCCAACAACAAAAAGGTGGCCAACATCCCCAAATAACAAAACTCTCAATTGCTCTCCTCTCCCCCGCCCCTTTTTTTTTAAAAAAAAAAAACAAACCACACCCCGTGATTCACTGCATGACCACATAATCACTTCAAGTCAAATCAGGGTTTTAAGCCTCTTTATTTTGACTCTCCTCTAAGTAGAGCATCCCTCTCTATTCCATTCATTCTTCTTAAAGTACAACTAAACCTATTTAATTCAGTGACAAAGAACACTTGCTAATCTGACAGTTTTATTTAACATTAACTAAAAATCATTTGCAATGTTACGCCTACAAGTTGAGTGAATATTCAGATAAAGAAAAATCCACAAAATATCCAAGAGATTAAGGTATCGAAGGATTTAGATTTAAGAAGTGCTTGAAGGTGCCACATCCAAAACATGATCTGAATAGAATGGAGTTACTTTTGTCCTAACTGGTGGCTCACCTGCCCTTATTAGTCACCAATAACCTGTCCAGTGACTATGCAACATTCAGAAATCATTAAATTTCATGGTTTACATGTAAAATGCTCAATACATGTAGCATACTAATAATGATATAAATAATTATAAACAAGCATATTAATAATTATAGATCTTTTGGGTTTCGTCTTCCCATCATTCACAATGGTCAAAACAGATCTCACTAAGTGAGCAGAATTACTCATTCCCAATCAAATTGGCCATTCTGTCTTAGCACTTAGTATTAAGAGCCGGTATTTTTGACCCGAAGCAAAAATGTTTCTTTAGCTCTAAGTCTTATACTTTGCCATTGGAAGATTCAACAGGAAAGGTTCTGTTAAATTTAGTATGTAAGACTGCCAAGTGGTTTTTTAAATTTTAACTAGCAAAGTCAAATATATTCCTCTAGCAGTTTCTCTGAAGTTTTCAAAGCAAAGAAACTGCATACACTGAATAGCACTTAATATGTAATCTTAATGGCTGCTGATGTAAAGAGTGTTTGTAAGTTTTTGTCATAGATATTTTACTTGCAAAACAAATTTGGAGGTTATGGCAAAACAGTCAAGCACCCCCAAGAATTAGTTTCCAGAAGACATGAAATACTGTGTTAAATCCATAGTTATTTTTTAAACCTGTCTTGACTTGCATTGCCTATGACTGATCAGTCAGCTCCTTAATGTAGGTTGCTTTGATTGAAAATCCTCCTTTTGCCAAGGCAGCACTCTCTCACTGCCTCTGTTCCTGAAAACTTTTGGTCCCCTTTGACTATTACCATATGGCATAGCTGTATTGTTGTGATCCACTGATGCTGCAGAGTATTTTACTTCAAGTTTTGG